GAAAGAGTCCGATTTAACTGATTATCTCAAACAAATTGATACAATGGTCTGGATATTTATATTAATTAGTTATTTTTTGCTCATTATTATGAACCGATTGGATAGTTATTTGTTTAAAAATGGCAAGCAAGTTAATGTTTGGCATATTATTCAAGTGTCTCTTAATCAACGTAAGTAATATTTTAATTAATAAATTATTGATAATAAACTTTAATATAGATTGTAGTTTAGTGTAATAAAGGTGTGCTTTTGAATATTTGAAATTAAAAAACTAGATAATTAGCACAAAAATGAAATTTCTAAATATAAAATATAGCTACAGTAGTTGATAACATTAAAATATAAAATTTTGATATCCAATAGAAACAATTAAACTTTAACCTTTAAAAGAATACAAATTATTATTTGAGTAGTTTATTGAGAAATTCATATCTTATAATTGTTTGAATACATTGTATAATTTATATAATAGAATGATCGTTCAACTTCAGTTAGGTTAATGATATAAATTATGGTACTGTATTAGTTTCATCTACTTTAAAAATGAAAAATAAATTTACGGTAGTAATTTTAGTAAATTATTATTCAACCTATTAATAGAATCAGAAGTTTTTATGATATAATTTTATTGAATCAATAAGTTATAAATTTTTCAATAAACTAAATATCAATAAAATAAGAAAACTTTTTAGACTAGTAAAATGTAAAAATTAATAAATTTAATTTATACTACTAAATATTTTTAAATTTTAGCTCATCCACGAAAAATACGTTTAAATTCCATAACATATTTGTTATCGATATTCATATTGTGCTTTTCAATATTAAACTTTTCATTTAATTCAATAATAAGTGTGGAGAAAATAGTAGACAGCAACTTTCGTGAAATTAATTCACTCGCAGATATAGTTGAGGCTAAAAATGTTGTGCCCGTTATCTACGAGTCCTCAATGCTTGAAGAGCTTTTTAATGTAATTATATTTGCGACATCTAATAATCATATTTGACTTATGAAGCTAAAATAATTTTTTTAGACAACTGACGACCCTTTATATCCAGCGCTAAGACATTTGATTCACTCTAATAAGGATCTCTCATTGAAAGCATTTCGTGCGGACATCAGCACAAAAAGTGTCGGATTTGATGAGAAATTTTTCCAGTATCTCTCGAAAGGGAGAATAGCCATGTTTGAGCCGGACTATTATGCCGGATACCAAAAGTGTGTTTATTGCAAACAAATCCCGTCAATGGTGTGGAATCAGGCGACCACTGAATTGCCGCGAATTGTGTTTACTTTAGCCTTACGGAAGAATTTAGACAAACGTTATGTTCATGACATTAATCACATGTAAGCCTTTCTCATTATGAAACCTTTTTCATTATGGTTCATTACTTTTTAAACTGAACTTATTTAGAAAATTAACAAAATAAAATATTTAAAATAGGATCCAATTGTTAGTATCAAACGGATTGATGACTAAATGGTTTTACGATACACACGATGTGTTTAAACAATTTCGTGGACAGGTATCCCAGGAATGTGTCAGAAGTGGGACTAAAGTGAAACAATCGGTAGAATTTTTCCCAATAAATGTGGTGAACATCAAAACATTTTCACTCCATGTATTAATGCTGGTTTCCGTTTCAATATTTTTACTTATAATTGAATGGTTTGTATATATGTGGTTAACTTTTAAATTTTTAATTCAAATTTCTATTTCAATAGTTTAAAATGGGATAAAGGGATTGAGTTTCTCGAAAATCTTTGAGATATATTTTGTGATTAAGTGATTATGACTTCAACAACTCATTATTTTTGTTAGTATTATCCTTTCATATAATATTGTTGAAAATGACATTTGAATTAATGATTTGATTTATGGAGAAATCCATATTTTGACATTAAATTTTGCTCAAAATAATTATTTCACACAATATTGGATAAATTAAACGCTGTTATGAGTTTGATTATTACTATTAATAGAAACTAATTAAATGTGTTATCAGGACATCTGTACTTACAAATTACTTACAAATTAATTTATTGGTTATTCAACATATTATTATGCCTTCATTTATGAATTTATGATAATAAAAATAAACATTTTGTAATTGTTTTCATTTACTTTTAATAATAAATATAATTAAATTTAGTTTGGTTGAAATTATACTATTAAAATAATATATTTCGTATGTAACTAGTAGAGATACCGGTAATTTAATAATAAAAATACTTTTTCTCATTTAAAATTATTTTATTTTAGGCAAGAATTTAAAAATGAGTTTCACAAATATGTAATGAATTAGTTTATTTATACATTCAGTATATTAATAGTTTTATTTTTCCAATTAACTAATGGGCCGTACAATTGCATAGTTTTAATTACAAATTGAGACAATACAATTAAATAATAGTTTTATAATAATTATTTTTTTAATTAAAGATAATGTTTCACAAATGAAATACACAAATATATTAATAATCTCTTGAAATAAATTATATATTTCCAAAAACACTAGTATTTAATTAATACAATGGTTTAATTCAAAATTGAATGAACATAATGTAATATTTTTTAGTTTATGTATAATAGCTATAATCCAACGCCTTAAATCATATACAAATTACTCCATATCATATATTAAATATAACTTGACCACAATTTTTACTAAGCTCTATATAAATGTTTAATTTCAAAATAAAAACTACTTTTAAAGTATAAATTTACTATAATTTTGGAGTCGATTACAATGGTTTCTATTCGTAAGACTAGAAGTTTTAGCTCAAAAATTTACTTTTAAAATCTTTATCCACTTTAATATAAAATCAAATCTAGTTTATTTATCAAATTTTATATATTTTTGTCAACTTTTAAAGTACAGTATATTTTGGAAGACCTCGTGTTTGATGAAAATCTCTTCAAATAAAACAAATAAATACTTCATATTTTCGTTATATTATTGCATATATTTTGTTGTCACTTATTGTTACATTCAATTCAAGATTTTTAAAATTTCTATTAATATTAATATATTTGTTGTATTGATTTTTTATACATTAAATTTTAAGTAATTCTTTATACAAAAACAATTTATTTGTAAATTAATAATTAATTTATTGTTTGTATTGTATGTTTAACGTGTATATTTATACATAGAAATTATGTGTCACCGGGATGATTTAGATTCATTTATTATTTGGTTTATGTTTTAGGAAATAATTTAAAGTTATCATAATTTTTATCTTATTTTTCTGTCAATTTAACAAAACACTAGTAATATGTTTATGAAAACAATGACTGACCCCTCACTTGATATTAGAAATACGTTGAATGACCAGACATTTAAAGATATTAGACTTTAAAGAGTATTTTATTATTGATATCTCTATTGATATTGTTTTTATAGAGGTATCTAAAAGACTATACTAAATAAAACCTCTAATTTTCAGTGTTGAATGAGGGTGAAATATAAAATTTAGTATTCAAGTTATCATAAGTTAAGGAAATTAAGTATATTTTTGATAAAATACTAAAAGTATAAAAGTTTTCTCATATAAGGAATCAAAGAATCAGAATCAAAGTTTAAGAATTTATTCAGCTTGACAACTTATCTAATTATACATAAACTTATTTTCATTCATTAATGATAGTTAGATTGGAATAATAATAATTTCTATAAAATAACAAGTCGACTCAATTGTGTACTTGGTATTATTATATTAATAGAGATTTAAATTAATATCTGTTTAAAAAGTCTTTCGATGATAATTACTATAAACGATTGATTGAATGAATGAAGTGTTTGTATATAAGTTTCTGATTAAATTATAGTTAATATTGTTTGCGCTAAATATAAGGCAGTGAAAGGGCTCTTAAAAAATGAATGCTAAATAATAGTCATATTATAGTAAAGCATATGAACATTAAAATTAAAGCACATTCTTCGTTATATAAAATTTACAATTCATGTCTAATTTGTTTGATATCTACATTTCATTTGATATTTTGTATTTTAATGCAAACAATTAACTTTTTAAAACAACGAACGAAATTATAATTTAAAAATAAATTATCAAATAAATCAAAGCATTTGTTGTCTGTGTATATGTTTTGTATGCGATTTGTATGTATAGTATGTTTGATGAGATAGTTTAGAGTGGCCACAAATAGCTGTAGTGATTATTTAAACACAGAATATTCTGTATATTGAAATATATATGAGAATTGCTATGAAAACGAAATTATTTCCATATTTCTTAGTGTATGTGTCGATGAATGTCTCATTAAAATTGAAAATAAAAGGAGAAAACATAAATCAATACATGAAAAACATTTTGTTTTTTACTCTACAATTATTTATATATAAATCTAGCCAATAGATTATCGGCTAAACAACTAATGAGTGTTGCAATTAAAAAGTGAAATATCATTCAAAATAACAAATAAACAAAAGTCTTTTCAAACGCTTTTCCATTTTTCCTATCATTTATATAACAAAACAATATATCAATTATTTTTTATATTCTCCAAATTCTCTCACTTTTTTAATTAACTATTAATTTTAATAGAGAATTAAACTTAGTTTTAACGCTTGATTTATTTGACGACAATATATCACTCTCATTGTGTGCCTCAATATTATGCCTTCCCGTACGTGTCGGTGCTCTTTCTCTCGGTGTCAGTGTTTTGTGAGCAGAGTTAAGGTGGTGTCTCAAAATACACCGGTAGCTATGAATTTAATGTTAATTAATTAATGAGTAACCAATTAGTAGTAATTAAATATAATTTAAATGTATTTCCGTTGAAAAGTTGTAACTTTCAAACAAACTATGGTTTGAATGAAAAATGATTTTTAGGAATAATTCATATAAAGTGGGTTTAAAACAGAGACAAAGAGATTAAGTTTTCTTTCGTAAAACTCTTTAAAAATAAAATGTCGACAAAAAAAAGTTGAGCAACAAAATTTGTATGAATTCTTATGAATTAATATTTAATCAAAAAATTAACATTGTTTTTGTCAATTTATAGTCACATTCAGGCATTGAACAGGTATTTGAAAAATTCATTTTCATTGAATTGAATTCAATGGTGTGTTTGTGTGTGTGATATCATAGGTATTGTGGTACAGATAACTATGGTATCATTTGTGAATATTTCATTGATCGCTCAGTTTGGCACAGATTTAGTGGGTGTGGGTGGTGTAGAACCAGAACCGACACTACCGGGCCCGCCACCAGAACCAGAGCCAGTATTTACATGCGTTAAGTTTGGGCCAACTGTCCCGTCATCGGGACTGTGAACCACAGAAAAGAATCGGTCTTTAAATAGATGTGAGAATAGGAGTGAATGTATGGCAAGAATTTATGGTTGAAAGTGAAAGTAAACTAAAGTAAAAGTGTGAAAAAACGAGACAAATGCTCACAATTAAAGCATAAGACAATTATTAGTTTTAAGCATTTGTTTAGCGATAAACTGCTTAATAGGCATTCAAACGATCATAAGGTTTAAACTCAGCAAATACAGTAAAAGTTGTCTAAATTTTCAATCAAACAAATGAGTTTTTTTTATTGATATACCATTTAAGGCGATTTACTATTAGTTTTCAAGTTTACAACTTTGAATATAAATGACAAAGGTACCAATTTTATTATAAGTTCATTTCTGAAATGTCTTAAAAGTTAATAAGCCGGTTGAAATGTTAATAATAGTTTTGAAAATAGATTAATTGAACATCACATCGACATTATATAGCATTTAGGAGCAAAAGCAATGAAAATAATTATACAATACCTTCGGCGCCAATAATATGTGGCGGATCGACATCATTAGCACCGGTAGGCATTAAGCCGGCCATCATTCCGTAATCTAGATTCTCATCTAAGGGCATGAAACTGGTGGCACCGGTATTCCATCTCGGGATGGGTGTTGTACGTGGTGTGGAACGGGGTGTAGTGACCGGCGATGTGAACATTGTCAGGTTGGTGGGGCTGATCACACCTGACATGGCGCTTACTTGACTCATAGATGGGTACGTGAATAGCTGTTCAATATATACAACCATTAGTTTTGAATTGATTCAGTGATTAAACTAATTTTTATATGATATGAGACACAGACTCTGTCACACTAATAGATATGTCTAAAACATATACCAATCCCTGCTCTAACCTAACAGCAAATGCTTTGAAGGCATACCTGAGAGACCGAGTGATGGGAGACGTGAGAGAATGAGTGGTCGTGTCGGCCGAGTGTAGTGAAGGGACTGTTGACCACAGATCTGTTGACGGGCGACACTATACTGTCCCCAACGCCCACATTCATCGAGACACTAGTCTGAGGGGACGACACCCTAATGTCTTGACCATTATCTCCGCGCACGTGTTGTACGACAACACTGGCCACGGATGTGTTGTCGTGGGCGCCGTTGGGCAGTGTTCTGGCGCTCATCGGCGGACTCGGCGACGACTGGACCCCCATTTCGGGCGAACACGACTCGATCGGCGACCGGATTATAGGAACGGGTCGGGCCATGGGTGCGGGCGGGGGTGGCGGCAGCATTGAGATGGAGGTGTTGTAGTAATGGTGGTGCGGCTGATGGTGTGGTACGTTAGACATCTGTTTGGGGCTTCGGTTTGGGTCCATATCACTTCCCGGACCCTATTGTCACCGAGTATTATACATGTATTAGTTGATAGGAATGGTGTGTTTCCATTGATAGGGAGTCATACCTGAGGTCCGTTGCCATTGTTCTGGGCCTCCTGACAGACCAGGTTGACAAAGTCTGAAAGGGTGTCCCCATTCTCCTGATACTTTCCGGGAGGCAGTGAATAGTAAGCGTTTTGTGATGATATCTGACCGATAGATAGCCCGGAGCCCGACGATGAGGTCACGTTCAGTACCGGGGAGTGAGAGTGCGATAGATAGGAGTCCTTCAGTTGATTGGCTATACCTTCGAGGGTTTCATAATTAAAATTTTATTAATTATTAATTTTTATTGCAAATTTATTAAATGAGTTTTATTCGTATATTGATTTAATTAGAAGTGATTTTAATTATAAAACAAAATTTCTTAATTAAAAGCATTTAATGTTTTGTTATCTAAAAATCTCTGAACCATTGCTTATAAGTTATAACTAATGAATAAATTGATTTTTAATTAATAGTGATATCGCTTGAAGTGATCAATTAATTTTGCACTAATAGTGTAGTTATTCTGCAATTAAGTGCCAATTCATTGCACCCTGTATCTATTTGTTCATAGAGTATGCTTTCATTGAGACTGATGTGACCAAAGGAACTGTAGCTGGGAAAGGGATCAGTT